TATAGAAATGTGTGTCCTCATAAGTCACAAAAAGGCGCGCGCGCACACACATCTATATAAATATAAATACACACACACACACACACACCTATATAAATACACACACACACACATCTACATAAATACACTTTTTTTTTTATTTGCTTTTGTTTTGTTTTTCTTTTCTTTTTTTACATCAGTATGGTACTGTTAATGATAAATTTAAATCAAGTTAGATAAAAAGAAATCTAAAAGTAATCTAAAAAATGTAGTCAGCAGTGCATTAATACCTAAAATGAGTAACCTAGATTACGATACTAACTACAGTTTTTATTATGTAATCTGTAATCACTAATGGACTACAATCCACCCAGCTCTGAATGTCCACATATTTGCATTGCTTTGAATGTTCTGAATGTAGATCGCATGCCACGATTGTTCAATTATATACAATGCCTGCACGCTACTGGTCAAACTACTTTTCATTCATTACCTTCAGCAAGTTTGAAAACAAAGGCAAAACCCAGACATCCCAACCCAGACCGAGACACATCCCGGAAAAAGACAATGTATAGTCAGCCTACACACTTTGTACACTCTCAGAAATAAAGGTAAAAAAGCCGTCACAGGGGTGGTACCTTTTCAAAAGGTACACTTTTGTATATTAGGTTTTAATATGCACACTTTAAGTACTAATATGTTCCTTTAAGGTACCAAAATAGACCCTTTAGGTACAAACATGTTCCTTTTGAAAAGGTACCACACCAGTGACAGCTTTTTGACCTTTATTTCTGAAAGCGTAGGGCTTGACTGGTTTAACAGGTTGTGTCACATTCAGAGGACAAATCTGGCCCCAAACTATCACAGAAACATGCTTAAAGAGTTAAGGAGTTGTAAAAGTGTGATTGTCTCACACAGACACACCTCAGGCAGCATGCTGTGAATGACTGCATTCATTTTGTATGTTTTTATTTTGCTGGTCTCATATGGGATGGTCTGATTGACAGCTGTGTTGCGTTTGGTGAGGAATAACGATCCTGTGGCGTTACAGCATAACTGCAGCCTCATTCTGCCAAAAACACACAAAGAAAAAGTTTATCAGCATTCAGTAGCTTTATATGCGTCATCTCTGTAAAAAAAATAACCACCTCAGTATTCAAAGATGTATTGTTTTTAACAGCTTGTCTCATTAAACACCCTGACTCTGAACAATAAATGACAAGTTTTCTGAAAAGTCGTGAAAATGAATCTAAAACATCACTGTAAATCAGACACACACACATACACAACTGATAAATCAGCACACATTCATTTCATGCTCATTGTAAAGAAAAGTCTGCAGCGTTATGCATCACGGATAAATTAAATATAGCAAAATGCATTACTAAATTTTGAGAACACAATTCCTACGGTGACCGAGAAGTGCAAAACAAATCACAATTCTGAAAACAAAATAACAAATTACAAACACAAATGAAAATCTAAAAAACAAAATAACAAATCAGAAAACACGAAAAAATTATAACAAAATAAAAAACACAAAGACAAATCAGACAAACCTGATTTTGAGGGTTCCTGTATAACTAATTTGATTGTTCGCTTTTAATTTAAACCGCGAGTGCAGCACGTTAGCTAAAGAAAAGTCTGCAGCGTTACGCATCACGGATAAATTAAATATAGCAAAATGCATTACTAAATTTTGAGAACACAATTCCTACGGTGGCCGAGAAGTGCAAAACAAATCACAATTCTGAAAACAAAATAACAAATTACAAACACAAATGAAAATCTAAAAAACAAAATAACAAATCAGAAAACACGAAAACATTATAACAAGTCAGAAAACACAAAGACAAATCAGACAAACCTGATTTTGAGGGTTCCTGTATAACTAATTTGATTGTTCGCTTTTAATTTAAACCGCGAGTGCAGCACGTTAGCATTCGTTAGCTTGTCATTCGCGTTTCTATACGCGTCTATTACCGTTTTCTTTTTTCTCTTGCTTCAATTCTTTTTTCTCTTGCTCCGTTTTTTCACGAGTTAATCAAACAATAGTGGTAAGTCAGAATACTTCATCAATCACGGTGAGTAATGGCTTCTTCTCCTGCTATTGTTGCACCGCTTGCCACATGTATAGTTTATCTCTCGCTGTCAGCAACGAGGGATTCACATGTGATAAATGCAGGGAAATAGTTAGGCTGACAGAGAAGGTTTCAGAATTAGAGACATGCATCCAAACTTTAATTAAGGATAGTAAAAATGTGAGGGCTCTAGATACGGCTTTGGATGCGACTAGCTCAGGGAGTCCTGTACATTGTTCGGTTCCGGTAACAGAGCCTCTGCAGCAGACATCTGACAATCAAGATATACAGGAAGAACAGCAGACTAGCGGTAGAAAGTTCGGAGATGGTCTTAAAGTAATACAGTTTAAATGTATTGTATGAATTGCCCTTACTATGGAATAAAAAAAGAATATGCATGTACATTTACAACACTGCACTTATATTACCTTTGAAACAGATTACAAAAAACTAGTTAACGCTAATGGGAGGGTGTTTATAATACAGTGTCTATGGGAGTGACGGTAAATTTGACATTGTTCTCTCTTCTGACTGCCGTTCAGTCTCTCTCAAAATTTTTTTTTTATAAGTCGTGAAAACACTAGAGTGTGGCAATTTTCTTTTGCTATTTGAGCAAATGGGAATGCAAAAAAAACAACAACAACAAAAAAAACAGGCAGAGGCGTGTTAAATTGGGATTTTTGTGGGGCAGAGATAATTTAAAGGGGAGAATATTAATACAAAATATTAAGAGTTGAACAGCCTTTTTATTAGGAAAATTAAACTGGAATTGAGTTATATCAAACAGCATTAAGGGTGCTTTCACACTAGCACTTTTGGTGCTCACCCGGGTTCGATTGATGTCAGAGTTCGGTTCGTTTGGATGATGTGAACGCTGTCTTCCGAACTCGGGTGCGCACCCGCGAACCGTACCCGAGTCTGCTTAAAAAGGGTGGTCTGGGGTACGGTTCATGTGAATACGGTTTGCTGCTGATATGAACACTATCGTACCAAATCACGGAAGTGAACCGCTATTAATGACGTATTATTTGATTTTAAAAAAAGTGTGTTTCACTCATTTCCTGACGAGCGTGACTGACGCGCTGCAAGCGGAGAGCTGTACACCTCATTTCATTGTCATTGTGTTTTCTGACTTGTTATAATGTTTTCAGAATTACTGTTGTGTTTTCTGAATTGTTATTTTGCTTTTTAGATTTGCATTTGTAATTTGTTATTTTGTTTTCAGAATTGTGATTTGTTTTGC